ACGAAATGAGATCCAAATCTCCAATCCATATCTAGAATAGCTAACATTGTCTGCTGGAAATGCCTAAATACCAAGGTCCAAGACACAAATTTTTTTTTTTTTTTATACACGGTAGGGGACTATGCAGCCAGCAGTATGCATACCAACAGAAAGAGTAACCTCGGAATGAAAATGTGAAGATACCTGAGATGGAGCTGGGCTGCTAGAGAGTGGAGGAAGAGAGAGTATTGGCTGGATCTGGACCGCTGGCAGCGGCTGGAGTTGGCTGGACCACCTGCGCCTCAACGACCGTTGGATGCTGGAGAACAGAGGAGAGGCGCGATCTGAAAGTGCAAGGTTTAATGAAGAAGCTTAAGGAGATAGAGCAACGGCTGGAGGCTGGAGTTGGAGAACAGAGGAGAGATCGAGCTGGGCTGGAGAAAATAGGAGAGGCACGATTGAAATTGCAGGCCTAAGTGAAGAAGCCACCCCCCAGCCAAAACGACGTCGTTTTGGGCTAGGGATTCTTTTTTTTTTTTTCCTGCTTGCATAGTGTACCGGTCAAATTTCGGTGTACCGGCCGGTACCTAAAATTTTGGCCGGTACACCAGAATTTGACCGGTACAGCCGAAATTTGGCCGAAACGAAATTTTAACTTATTTCGTTTCGGTTAACCCTCAAAACCGATATGTACCGGCCGTACTGGCCGGTACGAAACGGTACGAACTACATTGCTCAAAGACCAATAGTGTTTTTTGATGAACTGTTAAGTTTAAAAGCTGATAACATATTTCTGAGTCTTCCAAGCCAAGGAGTTAACAAACTCATGAGACCTGTAAGAATTCATTCTAAACATAGAACTGGACAAGGTACTATTAGTTCATCAATAATCAATAATATATGAGATGCATCAACATTAAAGTGGCACAATAATTTAGAATTAAATATAAATATCTGTGGCATGAGTCATCAAAATAAACAATAATAAGATATGAGTTTCAAAATATACCCAGGTTGAGTTATTCAAACAGCAAATTAAACGCATGCCAAGTAAAGTATAGAAGTTTATGTTTATGTATTCCCACTCCCCCTCTCAAAGAGAGATTTATCTCTTTAAGTTAGAACTAATAATAAAGACCACTAGCTCGTGGATACCACTAGCTTGTACATTATTCCACCATTTGTAGGAGGCTCCACAAATGTATAAATAAATGTCATTTAAGCCACTCACTTTTAGTTAAAACATGAAGAATATATTATATTCAATATATTCAATAAATAGGGGCTTAGCATATCTTATTAATGAATGGCCCATGAGAGGAGGAACAGGATGGCTAGTGAAATGGCAAGCTGGCTGCAAGCTTGCTAACTTGAAAAGTTGGTGAAGTAAACCAACTAGCTACAAGCCGAGATCTCTAGAGTAGATTCAAAATGATTAACGTGGCTTTAGGAGGCTAAGTGCCAGTGTTTTAGATTTCTTTTTAGTTTATTGTATGCTTGTTCTAATAAACTATAGTCCACAGGGTCTCCACGCTATAAAAGTTCATAATATATATATATATTCTTCACTGGGTGTTTTAGAAATTTTATTAGGTGACATCCTTGAATGTCTCACCTAACTTCATGGATCACCTTGGCTATTATATTGAAATATTTCAAGGTTTTCCTTATTTTAACTAATCAACTAGACCTAAGCTCGGTTGTCATAAGGATGAGCTCAAGTAGTTGAGTTCATTTGAGGTTGTTTACCTTATCTAGGGGTAGTTCACCTGGGAATGGACTATCATGAGGATGAGTTCAAGTAGTTGAGTTCATCCAAGGTTGGTTACCTCATCCAAGGTAGTTCACCTCGGAATGGGTTGTGAGGATGAGCTCAAGTAGTTAAGCTCGGATTGAGCTCATCCGAGGATGTTTACCTCATCCAAGGTGTTTCACCTCGGAATGGGTTGTGAGGATGAGCTCAAGTAGTTAAACTCGGATTGAGCTCATCCGAGGATGTTTACCTCATCCAAGGTATTTCACCTCGGAATGGGTTGTGAGGATGAGTTCAAGTAGTTAAGCTCGGATTGAGCTCATCAAAGGTTGTTTACCTCATCCAAGGTATTTCACCTCGAAATGGGTTATCATGAGGATGAGCTCAACCAAGTTTTATGAACTTGTTTAAGTTCCTAAGTCAGCACATGAAGTTCCTGTTGTTAAAGTCCAAGGCTAACCATATTATATGATAAGGGTACAGATATATACACATATATATCTTAAGCTCAGTATTAGTTAATGGTTGTAATTAAAGTAAATTATGAAGTTGCACTTTTTAATCATAGGTTCCTATTAGAAGTCATAATGATGACTCTTCTCCCCCCTTAACCCACACATTTGGGGCTGGTAAACATAAATGTTGTAATCATAAATTACATAATTTGCATTTTTATGCTTTAGCATGTCCAATAAACAAGCAGTCATGCATGTTGTAATAATAAGTCTTTCTAGCTTGTAAATATAAGAACAAAAATTGGACATGCAAAATAACTCATAAAAATCTTAAATGTGCAAAGTAATTTTGAAATTTCTAATATGTAACACTTACTTGACTTGCAGAGCAGAATTGATGTATACTTGAGAAAGAATTGTGCTTGATGAGATAGAAACTCGAGAAAGAATTTAGCTTCTTACGAATGATGTTAACTCCTTCTTGCTGTGACTCAAGAGCAAATGTGGAGAGAAAAAATCTAGCCTCTCATAAATGATGCTAGAGAAGAAATTTACTTGATCATCTTTGTAAGCTATTGAGCTTTATGGTTGGGGCTTGTAGCCTTTTAAAATTGGATGGAGGAGTTCTTCATAGCTCATAGATAATTTTGATGGAGGAGCTCAGCATAAAGGGATTTCTCTAGAACCCACCCCACATGGAGTCCCTGCACTTTTCCATCTCTAAAATAGCAATGGATATTTATAATCATAAGTGCAAATGAGCAAAGTAGCATGATTATGATATATAAAAAATGAGATGGCAAAATGATATCATGAGTGCAAAAACAAGTGCAGAATGAATGGAAAAATGTGGAATGAATGCAAAGAATGTAGAAAGCAATTAATAATAAATTTCAATATAAGATTGGACCAAGCTTGGGCCAAAGCTGTAATTTGCTGCGGAGGTCAATTGCTTTCTTGATAACTTGTATCACGAGGACTTGAAAAAAGGAGAAATCAAAGGCATCCAATTTTATAATCAAGAAAGTATATATAAAATAAATAAAAGAAAAAGATTACTAGTTCATCTTTTTTACTTTTCAAAATAATATATGGCTGATGAGCTAAATTTATATACATACTAATGTAAAATTTATGCCTTGATATTATTGACATTTGGATGAATTTTATGAAAATTTACTTAATTTTGCATAATTTTCATTCTGTGCTGGAAAGGACTTAATTGGAAAAAGTCACAATCCTTAGGAGTAAATTGCAAAGATATGAAATTTGAGCATTAAATTGTGCAAAATCCAAAAGTAAGGGGTCGGGACTGTAATTTTATCGTTAACAGAATTTGCAGAGAAGGACAAAAACCGGACCCAGACTCCTCAGGACGGATGCAGGAAAAGTGTCGGCACCTTGTTGAGGGTGTTGATACCTTGCAGCTCGTGCTGCACATCTTTCCGTTCATGCTCGACCTTTGCACCTCGTGTTTAAGTTCTGCACTTCGTGCTTGGCCTTTGCAGCTCGTGGCTGAACTCGGCAGTAAGTGTTTGAGCTCTACAGCTCGTGCTTAAGTTCTGCACTTCGTGCTCGAACTCAACAGCAAGTGTTTGAGCTTTGCAGCTCGTGGTTGAGCTCGGCAACTCATGTTTGAGCTCTGCACTTCGTGCTCGATCCTTGAAGCTCGTGGCTGACCTCGACTATATGTGTTTGAACTCTGCAGCTTGTGCTCAAGTTTCACTTCGTACTCGACCTTGGCAGCAAGTGTGAGCTCTGTAGCTCGTGGTTGACCTCAACAGCTCATGTTTGAGCTTTGCACTTCGTGCTCGACCTCTGAAGCTCCTGGCTGACCTCGGCTGTAAGTGTTCGAGCTCTGTAACTCGTGGTTGACCTCGGCAGCTCGTGTTTAAGCTCTGCAACTCGTGCTCAAGTTCTGCACTTCGTGCTGGACTCTGACCTTGGCAGCAAATGTTTGAGCTCTGCAACTCGTGCTCAAGTTCTGCACTTCGTGCTGGACCTCTGCAGCTCGTGGCTGACCTCAACAACGAGTGTTTGAGTTCTGCACTTCGTGCTGGACCTCTGCAGCTCGTGGCTGACCTCGACAGCAAGTGTTTGAGCTCTGCAACTCGTGCTGAAGTTCTGCACTTCGTACTGGACCTCTACAGCTCGTGGCTGTCCTCGGCAACAAGTGTTTGAGCTCTGCAGCTGGTGCTCGTGTTCTGCACCTCGTGGTTGACTTCGGCAGCTTGTGTTTGAGCTTGTCAGCGCGCAGCTCATGCTCCAGCAGGGACTTTGCAGCTCGTTATTGTCGAACTCCCAGGGGGCTACTTGGGGCAGCGTGGAGATGCTCTCTTCCTTCCGCGGATGGGGAACAGGAGGCTGTTGCAGATGTGCATGGTGTGTTCATGGGTAAATTCTTCGCACCTCCAAATGGTTCGGTGATGCGACGTGGGCGGTTGAATGCCTCTGCTCTCAACTGAGCATGAGATGAGACTGTTGGCTTCTCAGAGTAGCATGTGTTTTCCCGGTAGTGGTTTAACTGTCATCCTGAAGGGTGGTGTCCAGTCCCTCCAGAGCTTCCATCTTTAACACTACCATCAGCTTTTTTTGTCATTGGAACCATAGATTTTTGCTCCCTAGCAGCTGATTGGAGGGATTTAATTTGCTACTGGCAAGCTGCCTAGTCAGGGACTTATCCCTTGGATTCTGCAAGAACAAATTCAAAAGAGAGGAAGATTCCAATTTGCTTTACAGCAAAAGAAAATAAAACAACATAAAAAACAAAGTAAAATAATGAAAATGTTAAGATTTGTCTCCCCAATAATCACAAAGTGGTAACCAAACTCAAATGGTTTATTGCCCAAGGAGGATGCTTGTGGTTGGAAGCCGAACTAGGAGAATGCTTGGTGCTGCTGAGCTGGGCGACTATTTTGTCGCTGCCGAGCTGGAAGAATGCTTCTTGTTGCCGAGTTGGGAGTTCTTCATGAGCTGAGGACAATGGTATTCGAGCAGTTCGGACTTTGATGACGAGGTTGGAGAGCTTAAGGGGTTGGTGGATGGTGCGGGTGGCGACAGCCATATGTACCTTGGATGAACCTCGATAATTGAGCTCAAATCCTTCTTTGAATATTCATGGCTGACATGGCACCATACGTACTTTTTATTTTATTAAATAGGCTCTCGATAATTGTGCAAAGCTGAACCTCGATAATTGTGCAAATTTACTCCTCTGTTTATCTTCTTGTGAAAGCTTCTCTTCTTTACAAGCGAATAAACCCATCCTATAAATTCATCAGATCTACTTTTGTGACTCAAAAGAATCAGTCATGAGCCTTTCACTCATCTTCTCTTCCTTCCGATCAACCGGATCAACATACAAATAAAGCTTTTTATTCGATTCCCATAGACGACGCCAAATGTAATTACACCAAACTAGAGATCCTTCTTCAATCTACGTCTTCACTTCGGATGAACTTGCAAAGCCCCGACACTACAAGCAAATGTACCTATACTGACAGAAGTTTTCCGTCTGTATAAACCCTTTTTCCGTCAGTATAGACCCCAAAAACTATTCCGACGGACAAACTTTCTGTGGGTAGAAACCTCGTCAGTATAGGGTCTATACCGACGCCTAATCCGTCTGTATAGACCCTTGGGATCTATTCCGATGGAAAAAACTTCCGTTGGTATAGACCCTGAAAAATTTTTTAAAATTTGCCGTGGGTATAGACCCTTACCTTTACAGATGAACAATTCCGTTGGTATAGATCCTTTTAAAAAAAAAAAAAATTGATAATTTACTTTTATTTTATCATTTTCTCCTGCACTTATTACTAATGCCATTTTTCTGACCTACAAAATCAATCCCTCCATAGCACACAACCATTTGCACAAATCAATCCCTCCAAAGCACTAATTAATCCCTAACCATTTGCACATAAACAGGAAAGAAAAAAACACAACTTTGAAATTTCCTAACCATTTGTACGAATCAATCCCTCCAAAGCACACAACCAATCCCACCAAAGCACACAACCGCTCAAGCTAAGCTAGTCTATGCAGATCAAACTATTCAACACAATAA